GCTGGCCACACCGTGCCCTCGTGTACCGCCTCCACAGGTCTACTCGCTTACAGCACTCGCCCCGATAGTCTGTGGGGGCTACACGGGGGGGGGGGGGGGTCTTTGTCGTCGTTGTGCGAGCCCATTGTTACATCGCTAACCGGTGCAAGGCGCCCCTCGGCTCTCTCTCGGCTTCAGCGTCACACTCACGGCGAACTACTCGGTTCACTGACTAGAGTGCCCCCAGGTTTTAAGTGTTTTGCACGTCGCACAGAATAAGCGAAGACCCATCACGTTCGCTAATCCCGCTGTGGCTTTAAAAATTATAATAAATATCATAGGTGACGTTCAGGGCAGTAATATTTTTGCGTAGTAGCAGCAGCGACGATGTGGTTCAGCTCGATGCCGATGTCGAGGTCTGCTGCTGCTGCTGGTCACGATGAGAGGGCTTCAGCAGAGAGACACAGAGAGAGAGACAGGGAGAGAGAGTTCGTGTCGTGTCGCTCTTCCTCCTCCTCCTCCTGCTGTGTTGGAGGAGCGCAGAAGACCACAGCGGGTTCACTGCGCGGTCCAGAGTTTGAGTTGCATGGCCCACACTCGCACGACGGCTGATCGTCTTGAATGTGTCTCTATGCGTCTCCATGTGTCTCTATGAATCTATACGAGTAGTTATTCATACCTATGGGTCTCCATGTATCTCAATGTGTATGTATCTATGCGTCTGCATGTGTCTCTATGAATCTATACGAGTAGTTATTCATACCTATGGGTCTACATGTATCTCAATGTGTATGTATCTATGCGTCTCCATGTGTCTCTATGAATCTATACGAGTAGCTATTCATACCTATGGGTCTCCATGTATCTCAATGTGCATCTGTGAGTCTCCATGTATCTCTATACGTGTCTTTACGTGTCCCCATGTATCGCTAGAAATTGATGGCTATCTATGTATCGCTATGGGTCACTACGTATGGGTACCTGTGTATCTCTCCGGGTCCATGATTTTGGGTTGCACGGACACACTAATCGTGACTTGTGGCTTTCATTTCCCATTCACGAAGGAGATGCGCTCTCCCGTCGGCCCGGCGTTGATGCTCCGATGCGGTTGGTGGTTCTGCCATGCCGCCAGTGCCTTCGAGGAAGAGCAGGAGCAGGAATGTCAAAGCCAGGAGGAGGTGCGGTGATGTTTGCGTCTCTGATGGGGAGGTAAAAAACAATGTCTGACTGTTCGCACAGCTGCAGCAGCAACAGCAGCGTTCCTCTGCATCTGGGCGAGGTTCTGGTAACGGCCTTGCTGTGAAGAAGGACCATTGTCTGAAACGTCGCCTAATATATACTTTTCACTATTAAGGCCACACGCTAGCAACTATTTTTTTAATGTTGTCAGGTAACGCACACTGAGCTATGTTTGAGCTACTTTTCAGAAGCGACGTGGCCACAAAATGATCGCTCAACGAAGCGGTTTTTCATCACGTGGAAATGTACAGCAGGGGCCGAATACTCCAGACGCGTCGTAATGTTGATTCTAAATGTGGAGGGAAAAACCAGAGGACCCCGAGGAAAAACCACGCCACCACGGGGCGAGAGAGACACGCACATTCCAAATACACAGCCGGCGACAGGGACGGGATGGAACCCACGACCTCCTGTAGACCAGGCGAGGTAGTTGACATCTCGCCACCGTGGTTGTTATTGACGAGCGCGTTGTGTGTTGTTGTGCTTGTGCACCGCTGCCAACGCGGCAGCGGGTAATAGAAGCTAAAGTTGTAAATGGATTCATTGGGGGGGTCCCCCCCCCCCACACACCACCCCGTGTAGCCAGTAACAGACTGTTGGGGCAAGTGCTGTTAGCAAGAAGCACCTGCGAAGGCCGTCACGGCACACGAGTGGGTGGGTGGCCAGCACCACGCCCGACCGCCTTTGTCTCCCCAGTGGCGATGTTTACACACCGCGCCAGGTACTCATTTGAGGCCGAGTCGACCTAGGGGGGAGGCCGAGGACGGGTTCAGATGATCGTCACTGATGTAGATCATACACACAACGATCCCCCGTGTAGCTTCCATTGGTTGTTCGGGCAAGTGTTGTTGTTGTTAGCGAGCACTTACCAACGCTGGGACGGCGTACGACGGGATGGTGCGGCCAGTAATATCGTCCCGGCCGCCTTTGTCTCCCCAGTTGAGGCCGAGTCAACGTAGGCAAGGCACACGCAATCGGTTCGGATATCACTCGGCACCCAGGTTCGCCGTGACTGGGCTCATATCACAGTGCGCTAACCACTACGCCACCGCTCCACGCCCTAAGATATAGCTGAGAATGTATATACGTTGGTGTGTATGTATTGGGGTGTATTAGTCTGTAGGTATATATATATGTGTGTGGGTACATTTATTTAACACTGTACGTATTGTGTGTCTAGACCTAAAATAAGTTAAGATTTCCATCGGTCTTTGGCCTCCCCTAGGTCGACTCAGCCTCAAATGAGTACCTGGTGCGGTGCGTACACATCGCCACTCGGGAAACAAAGACGGCCAGGCCTGGTGCTGGCCACCCACCCCCTTGTGTGCCGTGCCGGTCTTCAGTAGGTGCTCACTAACAGCACTTGCTCCAAAAGTCTGTTAAGGCTATACGGAGGATCTTTGTCTTTGTAAATATAAGGTGCAGTGTGCTAACCATTGCGGCACCGCTCCCCACACATTACAAACATCTCCCAACCTCCCCTGACAGCCTTAACAGACTGTTGGGGCGAGTGCTGTTAGCAAGGAGCATAGTCGTGTTGCTACTGATACATCTCAGCTGCGGCTCTCTCTCATATGAACTTAAAACTATTTTAACTAAATTTCGATTTAAAGTTTTCGTGACTGCAGGGATTCATCTTCTTGATTCTTTCGGTAAAGTCACGTAGAATGGAAAAAAATACTATAATATATTGTTATAATTTTTATTTTATTATGTTTTATTTTTAATTATTTTATTATTTCCATTCTACGTGACTTTACCAAAAGAACCAAGAAGATATTTTAACTAAATTTATTTTACCAGGTAAGGGCCATTGAGCTGTACAGATCTTTTTCAGAAGCGACCTGGTAATAAATGAGAGCTCAGTGAAGTAGCTTATCACGTAGAAGTTTACTCTAAACGCGTGATGCTGATTCTAAATGTGGAGGAGAGAGAGAGAGAGACGCAGACAAATATACAGCAACAGCAGGCGTCATGGTCGGGATCGAACCCACGATCTCCTGTATACCAGGCGAGGAAGTTAACATCTCATAGCCACCGTGGATAGACACATCGTCATAATAACCGTTCATTACGTCGAATCAGAATGTTTATACTGCAGGAGGAATCCGATGAGCTGCAAAGCTCTTTTTTTACAGATGTCCAGAAGGAGCGGGCAAAAACGTTACAACAAACACGACAAAATCACGACAGTCGTGCAAAGTACAAGAAAGGTAAACAAATGACCCAAACACAAACAACACTCTCCTCTCTGGATCTTTCGGTAAAGGCACGTAGGTAGAAAATTTAAATAAAACTAAAAATAATATAAATCTTAATTTAAAGCTTTCGTGACTGCAGGGATTCATATTCTTGGTTCTTTTGGTAAAGTTACGTAGAAGGGAAATAATAAAATAATATTTATATAAAACAATAAAAATTCTCACGACGTTTCGACTGCAACACAAGCAATCATCATCAGGCGTGAAATCCACAGAAAGAAAATGTTCACACCTGATGATGATTGCTTGTGTTGCAGTCGAAACGTCGTGAGAATTTGTATTGTTTTATATTAATATTATTTTATTATTTCCCTTCTACGTGACTTTACCGAAAGAACCAAGAATATGATAAAAAATCACGACGTTTCGATCGCAACACAAGCGGTCGTCCTCAGGCGGAAAAATTAGTCCAACAGTGGAGCTGCTGAACCAGAGAGAGAGCTGTAACACTACAACACCAAACCATCCCCATCGTACCAAGCACAGCCCACTGAAGTGTTAACTTCTGTTTCAGCAGCGACCTGGCCACAAACGATGGCTCAACAAAGTGGTCTTATCATTTGGACATTTATAACATCAAACTAATCTAAAGAATCTCAATGCATGGACATGGGCTTTGATGTGTGTGTGTGTGGGATACATCATGGCGAGCAGCGACGATTACCGACGGACAGGCCTGGTGAAGGAATGGCAGCTAAACGAGTGATCGATTTTGACATCGATCTATAGTAAAACAAATAATGTTATGACGGCCGTCTTTGTCTCCCAAGCGCTGCTGTTTACACACCGCACCATGTAATTATTTAATGCTGAGTCGACCTAGGGGATGCCCGGGACTCGTTCTGATATCACTCACCGCTGTTAGCCGCGCCTAGGACTCGACATAAAATCGCCTGGTTCACAGCGCAATGGGCTAACCACTACGCCACCTCTCCCCACATACAAAGACACCGGAGCCCCAACCACAAACTCCGCTCAACCCCGAGTCCCACTCAACTCCGTATTTCACTCAACCCCGAGTTCCACTCAACTCAGGTGAGTTCCACTCAACCCCGACTTCCACTCAACTCAGTGTTCCACTCAACCCCGAGTTACACTCAACCCCGAGTTCCACTCAACCTCGAGTCCCACTCAACTCCGTATTTCACTCAACCCCGAGTTCCACTCAACTCAGGTGAGTTCCACTCAACCCCGACTTCCACTCAACTCAGTGTTCCACTCAACCCCGAGTTCCACTCAACCCCGACTTCAACTCAACTCCGTATTTCACTCAACCCCGAGTTACACTCAACTCAGTTGAGTCCCACTCAACTCCGTATTTCACTCAACCCCGAGTTCCACTCAACCCCGAGTCCCACTCAACTCAGTGTTCCACTCAACCTCGAGTTCCACCCAACCCAACGTCTTATTAACACGCGAATCTTGCCGCGCGACCTCGACCCCGTCACGCCTCCCCCGCTCTCCCCCGCAGGTGCGTCTCACCTGGAGCCGTCGCGGGGTCGCGGAGCGGAGGAAGGAGCCTCTCGAGGGAGGGAGGAGGGGGGTGAGAGGGAGTGGGGGAGGGAGGGATCTATGGATGGTGGGGGTGGTGGAGGGGGTAGCGAGTAGTGGGTGATGAGGGGAGGGGCTGGGGGAGGGAGCGGCAGGAGTGGGGGTGACATCACCCCCCCCCCTACCACTCGCGTCCCCGCTGGCCGCTCTATAAAAGCGCGCGCATCGCCACGGTCCTTCAGAAGCAGCGCCTCTCCTCGATTCTCTCCGACTCCTCCGACTCCTCATCGAGTCCGCGAAGTCTTCGTGTAGCTCCCTCCACCACCACCACCACCGTCTCCACAGTGCACCGAGAAACTCTCTCGCGTCTTTAACATTCTCGAGTCTCCGCGTCTCTTCGGATCACTGAAGTTCTCCTCCGCCGCCGCGAGTCACCGACGAGTCCCGCCATGCATCCCTCGCCTCGTCTCTCCGTCGTCTGGGCCACTGCCGCCGCGGTGCTCCTCGCAGTCGTGACGCTCGGGCCGGTGGCGGCCGCGCCGCCCCGGGACGCGAGACACGCGCTCCAGGTAGGCGAGAGCCACGGGTCAAGGGCACGGGGGACACCGCACGTGGACGGCACTGGGTCGGGGGGGGGGGGGGGGCAACGGGTTCATGTGCGAGACACGGAACACGAGGTTTGATGGGAACACGCGGGGAGACGTGGGGCGGCTAGCCGGGAGACGCGGGGAGAGAGAAACGGAGAGAAACGGAGAGTTACGGGGGGACAGGTAACACGGAGGGAGACGTGGAGCGGCACGGGGAGACTCCAGGACACACAGCGGCACGCGGGGAGACGCGGGGAGACACGGGGGACACGACACACGCGGCGAAACGACGGCGTGGGACACAAGAAGACACGGGGACCCAGGACACGCAGGAGGACACACGAGGGCACACGAGGACACACGAGGGCACGGGGAGACGCGGAGACGCGAGGAAAAGGCCACTGCACACACTGATCCGCCAATCCTCGCCGCACGATCACTCTCGGGCACTGCCTCACCTGTCGGGGTGGGTCGGAGCGGGGGGTGGGGCGCGCACACCTGTCGGTGACCCTCCCTCCGCCCCGGCACCTGCGCGTCGCGGGGTGGGTGGGGGTGGGGGTTTGGGGGGGAGGGGGGAGCCGTGGGTTCTAACGGCGCTGAGCCGCTGGGATCAAACTCTGGTGCCACCAGTTGAGCGGCGCCTTCGCCAGGAGGGAGTCGCAGCAGCGGCGAGTTCGCTCCGTGACTCGTCCCGACACTCGCGCTAAATAAACCCCGACAGTCGCCCCAACGCCAACGCCGTCCCGAAGACCAAACCCAAACAGCAGCATAAGAGCTGCCACTGACGCTTCGAGCACCCGAGTTCCCCCACTCGCCGTGAGAATGAATAGACTCTAACCAAACCCTCCCCTACTCTCCTTCATCTCCTGATCTTCCGCTCCCCCTCCTCCTCCTCACCGCTACCTCTTCCTCTCCATTCTTCCTCCATCCTTCCCCTCACATCCTCCTATGCCTCCCCTCTATCGCCACCTCCTTCTCCTCTTCCCTCCTCCTCGTCCCCATCTCTCTCTCTGCCCCGCGCAGGTGCTCAGCGAGATCCTGGACGGAGACTCCTCCGCGGGAGCCGATGGAGGCGCGGCCTCCTCCTCCTCTCTCGGCGGCGATCTTGGCGACACGGACGAGGAGCTGGGAGATCTCGTGGGGGGCCTGGTCAGTGAGCTGGGGGGCACGGGGGCAGGGCTGCCCCCACCGCGGGCGTCGCGGGACCTGGCGGGCGGGGAGCTGGAGCCCGTGTCGAGCGGCGTGTGGCTGCGTCTCTTCAACGACTTCGTGAGCAACCAACGGCGCTTCAAGGGCCGCACGAAGAAGGGGCCCGGCAAGGGCTGCTTCGGCGGAAAGCTCGACCGCATCGGGGCCCTCAGCGGCCTCGGCTGCTAGAGCCGCGACTCGAACCACCACCCCCCTCGCCCCGCAACCTCCGCCAAGTCGCCCGACGGTGAGATGAGAGCGGGGACGGGGCGCGCGCCGGGGAAGGAAGGGGGAGGACGGGGCACTGGGGTATAGGGCGGGGGGGGGGGGTGAGAGGGGCGATGGGGAGGATGGGGCAGTGAGCTGAGAGGGGTGATGGCGAGGGGGATAGGGCAGTGGGATATGGGGGGGGGGGGGGGGGTGAGAGGGGTGATGGGGAGGGGGATAGGGCAGTGGGATATGGGGGGGTGAGAGGGTGATGGGAAGGATGGGGCCGTGAGGTGGACAGTGATCAGAAAAGCCATTGTCTTTGATGTGTCGGCGTGTGTGCTGAATATGGGTGTGTGATGTTTGTGTGTGTATATGTATATACAGTACATGTATGTGTACATACAGTATATGTATTTGGGGAGCGGTGACGCAGTGGTTAGCATGATGACCCGAGGAACCCACAGACTTCAATTCGAACCGGTCCTGGGCCTCCCATGGGTCGACCGAGTAGGTTGACGGTTCTGATTCTGGTGCGGTGTGTTGACATCAGCATTGGGGAGACAAATGCGGCTGGGCCTGGTGCTGGCCACCTACCCCCTCGACTGTAGTGCCGCACTTAATAGGTTCTCGCGAACAGCACTTGTCCCAACATTCCCTGTCGGCTACACGGGTGATATGTGTCTCTATATTATGGGAAGCATCGGCCGCAGTGGCTTGCGCAATGCCCTACGAACCCAAGTTCGATTCCCGACCACGGCTCACGTCAGTGGCGAGTTATAGTTGAATCGGCGCTGGGCCTCCCTCTGGTCGACTCAGCCTTAAATGAATGCCTCGTGCGGTCTTTAAACAACAGCGCTGGGAAGACAAAGGCGTCTGAGCGTGGTGCTGGCAACGCCATCCTTCATGCGCTATTCCGGCCTTCATAGGTGCTCGCTAACAGCACTTGCCCCAACAGTCTTCGCGTGTATAATGGGGATCTTTGTAGATTGTATATTCTGTCACTACGTACGCTGATGTGTAGGTGTACACTATGTAATCGTGTTTGTGTGTGTGCACCTGTGTGAGCTTATTATACCTGTGTGGTGTATAGATGTGGATGTACGCATAGGTGATGATATCTTAGCCGATTGCGGCCTTCTCCTAGGCTGGCTCAGCCTTAAATGAGTACCTGGTGCCGTGTGTAAATATTTGGAGACAAAGGCGGCCGGGCATGGTGCTGGTTACACCACGCCCCTCGTGTGCCGTGCCCGACCTCAGCAGATGTTCGCTAGCGGCACTTGCCCCAACAGTTTGTTTGTCAATATGGGGCACCTTTGTTTGTGTTGTTATACTCCGTGACCTGACCTTGACCTCGACCTTGACCTCGCTGCCCTCTTCCTCTCACCTCCCAGGTTCACGGCTCGGACCGCAACTCGAGTCACATGACCAAGCCGCCTCCCGCAACTCCGCGACACCTGGCCCCGCCCCCTCGCTCACCTGGCCCCGCCCCCTCGCTCACCTGGCCCCGCCCCCTCGCTCACCTGGCCCCGCCCCCTCGCTCACCTGGCCCAACAACCCTCGCTCACCTGGCCCCGCCCCCTCGCTCACCTGGCCCCGCCCCCTCGCTCACCTGGCCCCGCCCCCTCGCTCACCTGGCCCCGCCCCCTCGCGTTTACATGCGTCGCCCGGCGTGTACAGTGCTCAGATGTATTTATTTGCTGTATTTATATTTGGTTGTTGAGTTGTTTCTCCTGCGCCCCGTGTCGAGTCTTATTTATATGATTGTGTATATAGACGCCCCCGTGCAGTAGGCAACCCGTACGCACCGCTACGCTGTGTTCCGTAGGACGTATCTTAAATAAAGTCTCCTGTACTGCTGCTGATGATGATCATGAGTGAGACTCGGTCTGTTCGCTGATTGCACACGTGCATACACACACACAGCCACAGGTGCACACACACACACAGCCACACGTGCACACAGTCACACGTGCATACACACACACAGCCACACGTGCACACAGTCACACGTGCATACACACACACAGCCCCACGTGCGCGCACACACACAGTCACACGTACACACACACAACAACATTCGCCACTAAGTGGCGGTGACGTCACCACGACGCTCGTGCCAGGCCATGTGCACGTTGAGGCCACGTGAAGTGTCGAACGCCCGCCGGCAGGAGGTGCCACGGGTCGATTGAGATGAGTGGCTGATGCACCACCTGTGCCCCCTACTCTGTCAACTTGCTGTGCTTTAACCATCCGGCGCTCCGCTCGTTGTTGTGAGCGTCGCTCCTCCACCCTCCGTTGTTGTTGGAGGGCGACTGCCTCCAACTGCCCAGTAGCGTCCTTCACGAGCCTCCTCCACAGAGGCCGATCTTGACACCGCTGGTACCAGTCATCGGCAAGTCCACTCAGCTCCACGTCCTCCTGTACCACATAACTCCATCTCTTCTTTAGCCCGTTTAGCCCCCTCGATCCGGCCAAACAAACACTGTTTAGGCATGCGGTGGCTGGGCATGCGGGCTACATGGCCCAGCCAACACACACAGTCACACGCACACACACACGAGCGTTGTTGAACCGGTAGCCGTTTTCAAAATCGATTACCGGTATTCGACTTTCAGAACCGGTTTATCGATTTTGCAATTGGATTTTGGTAAAACCTAAAACTTGTTTTACCCGTGGAACACCATGGGAAGGGGATTAGAGTCAAGGTCATTGTGTGTGTGGGGGGGGGGGGGGGGCAGACGGGGAAAGGTGAAAGGGAAGGAGGGAGTTCGGGGCGGGAGTCCCCGAGACGGACAAAGAGGAGGAGGGGAGGGGGGGTACGGCTCAAGATGGGGAGCGGGGAGAGAGGAGCGCTGGGGCCGGGAGGGGAGGAGGTGAAGGGGGGGGGGGGGAGAGGAGGAGGTGAAGGGGGGGGGGGGAGGAGGTGAAGGGGGGGGGGGGGAAGAGGAGGAGGGGGGGAAGGACCGAGCCGAGATGACGAGGATGATGATGAGAGAGGGAAGACAAGAGAGACGGAAGGAGCGTCTGTTCTCACAGTGGGCGGCGCGGAAGGTTCAGGGGTTCAGAGGGGGGGGGGGGGGGGTGACCACACAGAAGTCACGTGATCCACGGCAGGCTTGAGCTGAGCTCGATAGACCCTTCACTGGTCGGCAAATCACCACGTGGCACATTTGCATATATTTCTCATTTAAAGCTTAAGGGGCCGTCCATAAATGACGTCACGCACCAAGGGGGGGGGGGAGGTCAGAAATTTGTGACGATGTGTGACGAGGAGGGAGGGTGGGTTGAGAAATGTGACGTCACATCAAAAAGCAACTTTAAATAAATATAGACGACACGTTCTACTTCATTAAATAGACTTTTTAATAAATGTTTTCTCCTACAACATCAGAGTGCAGCGCCACATTAAATACGCACTACGATGACAATAGTTTAAAGAGATTGAAAGCATGTTTACATTTTTTTTGGGAGGGGGGGCAGAGCTTTGTGACGTCATATTTGAGGGGGGGGGGTCTGACTTTTTGTGGCGCCGTGTGACGAGGGGGGGGGGGGGTCAAAAATCATTCAAATCGTCCGTGTGACGTTATTTATGGACGGCCCCAAAGGCGCATCCGATCCCCCGCCACAGCTGGCGACAGAGCCTGTATTTGGCCTACACTTCCACGCGCCGTGAGATGAAATCGAACCGGTATTCCCTGGATTGAAAGTTCGGTGCGCTGCTAACAACGACACCACACATGCACCTAAACTATGATTACAAATACATATAAAGATCCCCCGCATAGCCTTAACACATTTTGAGTGCAAGTGCTCTTCGCCAGCAATCGATGAAGGCCGGCAAGGCGCACCACGCCCGGCCGCCTTTGTCTCTCCCAGCCTTCACTGGAACCAGACGTTCCAGTGAAGGCCGGGTCGACAAGGGGGCGCCCAGGACCGGTTCAAATATCACTCACGTGACACAAACACAAAAGTACACACGAAACTTCAAAGACAAAGATGCTCCATGCAGCCTTAACAGGCTGCACGGGGCGAGTGCTGTTAGCTAGCACCGATGAAGGCCCGGCACAGCACACGAGGGGGTGGGTGGACATCACCACGCCCGGCTGCCTTTGTCTCCCCAGTGGCCATGTTTACACATCACGCGAGGTACTCATTTTCGGCTGAGTCGACCTAAGGGATACCCTGAACCGATTCAGATAATCGTCGACTTGTGTTGTCCGTCCGCGGGAATCGAACTCGGGTGGCCGGTTTCGTAGCGCATAGCGCTAACCGTTGGCACTAACTCCATACAAAAGTCCCCCGTATAGTCTTAACAGGCCGTTGGGGCAAGTGCTGTTAGCGAGCGCCTATGAAGGCCGGCACGGCACACGAGGGGTGGGTGGCGAGCAGCACCACTCACGCAAGAACGCCGACAACAATGACACGGCACGAATGGACCCCCCACAGTCCATGGGCGCGTGCGAGAGGGTGGCGATCATCGAAACAGGACCGTGCCCGGCCGCCTTTGTCTCCCCAATGATAACGTTTATACACCGCACCAGGTACCTCATTTAAGGCTGAGTCGACCTGGGGGAGGGCCCCCGACCGAGCCAGATTTTCGTAACCGATGTTGAGTCTAACGCCGGTCGGCCGGGTTCGGAGCAGTTCGCTAACCACTGCACCACCGCTCCCCAATCTGACACACACACACAGATACAGACACATAGACACAGACATAGCCAAACAACCCCCATGACCGACACAACGTGGGAAGGGATGCCTTCATCCATCAGTGGATTGGCCAAGGGCTGTAAACTCGTATCAATGTAAGTATCACTACGACTACTACCATGGCTGCACGGAGAGTGATTAATTTCACTCATCGACAGGGCAGGGTGAGGTTAGGGGCTCTGGGTTGTGTGTGGGGTTAAGGGATACGAAAGGCCTCCCCCGATGGGCCACTGTGCACCCCCTCCCCCCCACCATACCCCCCCCCCCTTGCCCCCTTCGCCAACCTTGCGCTGATCAGAGTGGTGAAGTATGGTCAAACAACCCCCCTGCGAACGACCCACACCGCTGTGGGAAGAAGCCCTCCACGGCTGGACTGAGTCAGAGGTGAAGGCGCAGCCCCGCAAGTGCCGGCTCACGCCACTGCCGGCGGTAGAGGGCTCAGCTGGAGGGCGGCTCTCCACCGGCGTTCTTCACTGCGAGGCCCCGCGGGCCTCTGGCGGCCCCTGGCGGCCTTTAGTGCGGCCCCTGGCGTGCAAGGCCCTCCGACAATACACAAACCACAACCCCATCATCATCATCGTCGTCATCGTGCTGCTGTCACCCCCCCCCCCCCCCCCCCCACAATAGTTTCAAACGTGTGGCGGTCCTCACACTGATGATGTCTTGTCGGCGAAAGTGGCCCCCCTTGGAATCTGAATAAAGGGCAAGGGTCGGGTCAGTGGTAGAGTTATAGGTAACCACGAGCCACTAACCGTGGCCCGTAAGCCCGGACCCAATACACCCGATCCCGTGAGACCCCCTTTCCGCAGGGGCTACCAATCCCGGAGCGCGTCTCAACCCAACCCACACTCACTCACACGTGGACCTGCAGCGCCCCCTGGCGGAATGGGTCCCACAAGACCAAGACAGATCTCGGTGAGGGAGCCGTGTTGTGTTCACGTGTGAAGGGTCAGTGGTCCCTCCCGATCCATGCTCCTCTCGCTCCTCCTCCCTCTCCTTCCTCCTCCCTCTCCCTGCCCCTCCTTGCTCCTCTCCCTGCTCCTCCCTCTCTGGCGCCACCGCGCGGTGCTCCCACCAGCTCTGCTGTAAACGCGCTCTCGACACTACGATGCTCAAGTTGGTGATGATGACAATAAATGATGATACTTATGATGATGATGGCGGTGATGATGATTTGTATTCCGCTTGTGTTTCGCAGTAAAGCTTCACGGAGTCTCAACTCTCCTTCAAGAGGGCCCTGCCGAGTTGCCGCAGTAGGGGGCGATGCTGCTGCAACTGCTGCGCCTGCTGCGCCTGCTGCGCCTGCTGTGTGATCGCAATGGAAGACTTCGCAGGAGTTTTCTCAGCATTGGGATGCGGTTTGGCCAAGTGATGACGTTGTACACGGTTCTATTTAGCCATGGGAGGAAATCGGAGAATCCGCATTGAACCCGTGCAGAACGGAGGGAGAGCATACAAACCCCAAACACAACACACTCGTGCATGCACTCTCACTCACTCTCTCACACTCGTGCACGCACACGCTCGCACACTCACAGTCGCGCACTCTCTTGCGCACTCTCACACGCACACGCTCTCTCACACTCTCTCACAGAACAGGTCGAGAGCAAACTTCACAGAGAGCGGCGTCCGAGTCGGGAATCGAACCCAGGTGCTCGTTACCGTGCGGTGCGAGTGTCACCACTGCGCTGCCACCGCCCTGGCGATTATGTTTTTGGTTTATGATGATGATCATCCTCGTCATGATGGTGATGGTGGTGATGATGATGGTGATGATGATGGTGATGATGATGGTGATGATCATCCTCGTCATGATGGTGATGGTGGTGATGATGATGGTGATGATCATCCTTGTCATGATGGTGATGATCATCCTCGTCATGATGATGATGATGGTGGTGATGATGATCATCCTTGTCATGATGGTGATGGTGATGATAAGCGTAGTGATGATGGTGATGATGATCATCCTCGTCATGATAGTGATGATGATGGTGGTGATGATGGTGATGATGGTGGTGATGATGATGGTGATGATGATGGTGATGCTGCTGCTGCTGATGGCGATGATCGCCAAACTCCACTCTGACGGCGGCGCTCGCGTCACGCGCCCCGGCGGTGAGGAAGGGGCGCCAGAAGAATAGGGGGGGGCGAGG